TGTGACCATCAGAACAGCCTATGACATAAGAACTCTTATCATCCTCATTTTCCCCATTAGGAAACTGAGGTCTGAAGAGATCCAGAACCTTGCACAAATCACCTTGTGGTTAAGCAAAGAAATCAGGATCAACTCCTGGCAGCCTGGTAAATACAAATATAAAGTTATTTTCAGGTTATCGGGGCGGGGGGGGGCATATTAATGGTCAGAAGGGGAGACTTTTCTACCACCAGTTTACTTTCCAGTGTAACTTGTATTAATTTCCTCTTTACAGATTAATTTATTTTTAATCCTATAGATTATACTTCCATGTCCAACATCCATATTTTCCTCTGTACCTTCTTCCTCCCACCCCCAAACAGTATCCGTGAGCAAGTGTGATGGTCTTCAGAGGGGAAACCACTCTTCTGGAAACTCAATGCCAGTTCTGGAAACATGGCCGGCACAGATCTTTCACGACTCCCAAACTCCAACGCACTGGGAAGGGATCTGGGAAGACAGGACACTCTCATTCGAGGCGGCGGAGGGCTTTGGTCACTTGGAAAGTGTTCTCTCTGAAAGCTGGAGAATCTAGACGCATCTGGGCTAGAGAAATAGATTCTGCACATCCTCCTGTCTCACCGCCCACTCCATATTCCACAGTATTGCCCAACACCACAAAGCTGAAGGGGTCTGCTGCACAGCCTTCAGCTCATGTGGGCTTTCCATGACAGGGTGGCTAAACCCACCCTGATGATATAGATTGTTCCAGAGAGGTTCTGTTTATCACCCATGGGCTCAGCTAGGCTGATTGTGCTCCACAAAGATGAACAGCATCACAAATCTCCAAACCTCTACCTCCCTTGACTGCCCCACCCCACCCCAATCCCTCACCCTGGCAAGGATCTGGAGAGAAATGGGGTACTCTAAGCATCTCAGGCAAATATCTGTGCTCTGTCTCTTCACCACTGGCTAGTACTACTCCTACTCTGGCCTAAGATATATATAATCCTCAGGAACTCTTTTTGCTTAAGATCTAGGCTACTGCAGACCTATACAACTTAACCTCCAAGAGGCGTGTGCTTCTTCTACCTTCTGAGAGGGAGACAACCCAGGGCCCTGGCCACAGAAGTCCAAAGACAGAGAAGAGTAATGGACAGATGATCCTGTGGAGTAGGGGTTGGCAGACTTGTGGCAAAGGACCAAAGAATAAATAATTTAGGCTTTGCAGTTCACATGGTCTTTGTCGTAACTACTCAACTCTGCAGTTGTAGAACAAAAGCAGCCCTAGGGGACACATAAATGAATGAATGAATGTGGCCCTGTGCCAATAAAACTTTATTTATGGACCTTGAAATTTCAGTTTTATGTAATTTTTAGGTATTGAGAAATATTCTTTTGTTTTTCAACCGTTTAAAAATGTAAAAACCAGGGCACCTGGGTGACTCGGTTGAGCATCTGCCTTCGGCTCAGGTCATGATCCCGGGGTCCTTAGATTGAGCCCCGCATCGGGCTCCCTGCTAAGCGGGGAGTCTGCTTCTCCTTCTTCCCCTCACCCTGCTCATGCTCTCTCAAATAATCTTAAAAAAAATGTAAAAACCATTCTTAGTTCCCAGAATGTACAAAAACAGACTGTGGGCAGGATGTGGACCATGGACCATAGTTTTCTGATCCCTGCTGTAGAAGGAAGATCACCCGGTGACCCCACCCAGTCATATTTATACATGCTTTTATTTCTGCCATTACACGTCCATGTCTTTCCAATTTTAGTATATGTGCTGCCAAAGCAAGCACGACACACATCCATGTCTTAGCAGACCAACCTTGACGTGCAATCAGAAAACTATTTTGTCCACAGCTATGACAAGTCTCTCTCTCTTGAAATAAGAGTTGGGAGAGACCTAAGTCCCCTGCAAAGTGAAGTTATGGGGCCAAATTCGTCACTGTTTGGTGAAATTTGAAACTTTTAAATATTAAACTGCAAACTGGAAGAGCTTTCCAAAGATTTAAGGAAGCCATTCTAAATACACATGCATGTTTTTCTCAACTTGAAACAGAACACAAAAATATTCTGGGAACTGAAGCTTAACTGAATAAGCATGGCATTTGGTCTGAGTTTTGGGGGAATTAAGTTATGGGAAACACCAAAACCACTTATCTGTGGAAAGTCCTCAAACCCAGAACACAGTAGCTGATCCAAAGTGAAAGTTCCAAACCTGTAACTGGGTGATAAACATTTTGGGTGTGAGGGCCTCCTCAGGGATCACAATGTTTTATTTTCTGTCAAAATGCATTTCCCACTGTTCAGCTAGAATAGAGGATGGTCATTTTTAGTAAACACTCTGTCCTTAATATAGAAGAAAAAGGAAAGTCCTATTAAAATGACTCAAGTGTTCTGGTCAGTTGTATAGGAAACAAAGAATATAAAGGTTTTTCAAATATGGGCCTCTGAGCATTATACATGTTGACATTCAAAAATCAATCAGTTAAGCTGCTCTCAGCACCTAATAGGAGGCTTTGGCATTTAAATTTCCAGAAAGCAGCTTTATTTGGAGAGAAACCTAGCAGCAGGAAGGTTATAGTGCTAGACTTTAAAAAAAAAAAAAACCTTTAAACTCCCTAATTTTTATTGTTATGTTAATCACCATACATTACATCATTAGTTTTTGATGTAGTGTTCCATGATTCATTGTTTGTGCATAACACCCAGTGCTCCACGCAGAACGTGCCCTTTTTAATACCCATCACCAGGCTAACCCATCCCCCCACCCCCCTCCCCTCTAGAATCCCCAGTTTGTTTTGTGTTTTTTTTTTGTTTTGTTTTTTTGCCAGGTGGAGATTGGAGCTGATGGTGGTTGGACTGGTGTTTGAAATAAAGTATGGGTTTTGGCAGCAACCCACACTTTCTGTGTTGGAAAGATGTTATCCTGAGTTTAGACCTGTTGAATTTTTTCTGCATTTTTTATTAAAATTTTTATTTATTTATAATCTCTACACCCCATGTGGGGCTTGAAATCACAACCCCAAGATCAAGAGTCACATCCTCTGCTGACTGAGCCAGGCGCCTTGGCTGCATTTTACTTCTGGAGAAACACAAAACACTTTTCACGCTGAAGTCTAAGAGGCAACAATCATTCTAAGACCACATCAAGGTGTCCTGTTTATTCCTAGAAATGGAGTCCCAGGGACTATAATCTATAGGTACGGAGAACCTAGACCTTGTTGGAAAAATGAAGGCTTTAGGGTTCTGGCAGTAAGAATGGAAGGGTCAAAGGAGGAAAACAAGCAAACACACCCAGCAAGATTTGATAACACAGTGGATATAAATGATAAAAGAGTGGGATTCTAAGGTTTTCATTTGGGAACCTTCCACAGAAAATCAAGCAGTTAAAAAAAAAAAAAGGCATCACATCTATAAGAGAAATACAGAGTCTAGTCTTAGTATCAGCTGTAAGTCAGAGAAACATTCAATGGGTGATGTCCTGTGTACATCTGAAAGCATAGAACTGGGGTTCAGATAATAAGTTGGGGCTGATCCAAATTAAAAGGTAGGTATCCACAATTCTAGAGCATTCTTTGAATGGTAACACGAGTCAAAATTGATTTTCTTTTTAGGAGTTTGAGAAAAGACTCAAATTATCATTAAAAAACAAAAAATATACAATTTATTGACTAGCAATAGTATACCCCCTGAAGTTGTTATACTATTGAAACTATTAAATAGATCGCTTCTCGGCCTTTTGGCTAAGATCAAGTGAAACTATTAAACAGAATAACCTCCGGCAATACGTAATTTATAGCATTTATATCAATGAGTGAGGCAACCCTGGCCCTTGATATAGACATGATATAGACACATGGTGCCTCTGAGGACAGAAGGTGGGCCCTGGTGAACAAGGAACCCTGAACCATAAGCAGGGGGGTGTGGGGGCAGTGGGGCCTGGCTGTGTCTTAGGAACTTGCTTCATCCATTCAGGCTACACTCTGCAGGCCCCACTGGTCTTCCTGTTCATTCCGATCGCAGAAAGATTTCCTCTGCTGTTCCCATCGTCAGGACCACTCCTTGTCCTGAACTTTACAAGGCTGGGTCCTTCTCACCATTCAGGTCTCAGCTCAAACGTCACCTCCTCGGAGAGGTCTTTCCTGACAACCACATCTGAGGCTGTCTCCAAAGCTCTCAATTTGTACTGCGCACACAGACCTGTTACAAAGCAGACTTGGACTCAGTGGGTTCAGGAAGGGAGCGGGGGACAGTGGTGTGAGGCTGAGATTATTATTATTATTTTTTTAAGATTTTGTCAGAGAGAGGGGGAGAGAGAGAAAGAGAGCAAGTGCACACAAGCAGGGGGAGTGGCAGGCAGAGGGAGAAGAAGGTTCCCTGCCGAGCAAGGAGCCCGATGCGGGGCTCGATCCCAGGACCCTGGGATCCTGACCTGAGCGGAAGGCAGACGCTTAACCGACGGAGCCACCCAGGCATCCCTGAGATTCTGCATTTCTAACAAACTCCCAAGAGATGCAAACCTGCTGCTCCGCACACCACACCCCGAGAGGCGGCCCTACCCCTCAATCTCTGTCACAGCACCTGTTTCTCTTTCTTCATGGGGTGTCTCACACTTTGAAATTATGTTTGTGTACTGGATCGTTCATTGGTTGTTTGGTTTACTAGAAGGTAAATTCCACAAGAGGAGGGACTTATTTTTTGCACTATTAGTCTTTTACTTCTTTTTAATCTTCATTAGCAGAGTTCCCTGGTGATCAGATCAAATAATTATGACAAAAACAAAAACAAAAAAAGGCAAAAAACACCACAGTCATTTGTTTCTCAGTCATATACCCCTGTGATAATCGTCTCGTAGTTGAGCACACTGATCGAGATACAAAGCTGCCTAGATTCGGGCCTACAGCAGGGCCGGGCTCCCTGATTGCAGGTTAGCTTGGCTGAAACAGGACTCTGGTAGAGAGTTATACCACAGTAAAGTGAAGCGAGAATATGTCAGGTAATCTTGTCAGGAGATTCAGCCTCAATAACCTGCATTAAAGGGATAATCCTCCAAATGAGACATACAATCCACAGTCCAGGCCCTCCAGTTCCTGTTGAAGCTAACTAAGTATGGTCACCAACTCCTCATCATTAATCCATTTAAAGTCAAAGGCCTCAGAGTTCTCAACAATGCATATCAGTGACAAACCTGAGGATCGCAACTCTAGTCCTCTGGATATGGAATTGGATCAGACCCTGGGCTGTGGGTTTTTTGTGCTTCATACCTATCACCTGAATTTTGGGATCCTCCAGAGGTGAAGATCCTCTGGCTTGGCCCAAAGTCTTTCGGGAGAGCCCAGAAGGCTTTAAGTTGTGACGGCGATGCCCTTGAAATGGGTGTCCTGGATCCATTTTTTCCTGTGAGGCAAGGGGGACACTCGATCTGGTCAGTCACTTGTTTGCATTTCAGCCTAGGTTTGTTCAAGAGCCTTTTGATCTGGAAGTGGTGGAAGACTGCAAAGGCTCTCACCAGCCCCTCACCCACCAGCTCCTCCGTGGCCTCCCAGGCACCCAAGGATGTTAGTTTACTGGTGAGGTCATTGCCTTTATGATCTTCGGGGGGAAAAGTCCTTCGCAGGTTGTAATCCCTGTGACCAGTGAATAAGAGAGATGTCCAGATAGTCCTGTTTCAGATTCTTGGCAGTCTTCGGATCAGCTTTCTTCACTAAGATTCTCTCAAAGGTGGGTCCTAACCTGCTAACGATGAAGAGGTCCTCCTGCTTCACGACCTTCTCTTGGATGGCTTTTCCCACCTCATTCTTATCCTTGATAGACATAGGCACAATGTGATGATATCCTGCATCAATGGTCACCTTCACAGGCTCCTTGACTTTGCCTGGAGGAGACTTCCAGGTGCCCAGGCCCACAATAGACATCTCAGCTTTGGTATAGGGCTCCACAAGGGTGGCCGTGGCTGGTGCGGAAACATTTCTGAGCAAGCAGGTAGACACACCGTGCCGTGGTTAAGGGCACTGGCCCTCAAGCAGGGACTTTGTCGAGGGTTTTCACTTTTTTATTCCCAACACTTAACACAGGACCTGGCATGTTACAGATGCTCTGGCAGTACTGTTAAATGAATGATGTTTTCCAAAATTCATTCATTCCTGTAACTCTTTAGTACCTGCTTACTGACTCAGCAACTGCTTCTTTATACAACAGGGTCTAGATTGTAAGTGAGGGGCAGAGGCACTCAAGTGCCAGGCCAAAGTGGGATAAGAAGCTTGTACTAGAATGTAAATCTGATGTTACTCAGCAGTATTTAGTTAGTATGAACTTCTTTTTCATAGCAACTTTCTTGATGAAGAAAATTGCTTTCCCTTTTGGCACAGGCTCCTTTTCTCATCACAGAACAGTGTGAGCAGGCAACTGTGGGTAGGCGGCATTGTTCCTAGCACTGATACAGAGGCAAGTAGCTTAGTAAGATATATACTCCAACTTCAGGAGCGCCTGGGTGGCTCAGTTAAGCGTCTGACTCCCGATTCTGGCTCAAGTCAAGATCTCAGGGTCATGGGATGGCACCCAATGTCGGGCTCTAGGCTCAGCAGCGTGTCTGGTGGGGGGCATTATGGGAGGTGAGGGGAGCTGTGTGTAAAAGAAATATAAAAGTGGTAAATTATCAGAAAGAAAATAAAATTGGGCGCCTGGGTGGCTCAGTTGGTTAAGCAACTCGCTTCGGCTCAGGTCATGATCCTGGAGTCCCTGGATCGAGTCCCGCGTCAGGCTCCCTGCTCAGCAGGGAGTCTGCTTCTCCCTCTGACCCTCCCCCCTCTCATGTGCTCTCTATCTCTCATTCTCTCTCATTCTCTCTGTCTCAAATAAATAAAATCTTTAAAAAAAAAAAAAAGAAAAATAAAATAAAATAAAATAAAATTGACAGACCATGGAGAATTGTGAGGGAGATGACAATTATAATACGAAAAATTGTGGAAGAGAATAGAGAATTATAGGAGAGCATATAGTTACAGGAGGCTTGTGGGAGCTGTGGAGGCTTGTGGGAGCCATGGAATATGAAAGAATTGCTAAAGAGAATATAAAATTATTTTAGCATAAATTGTCAGCAGGTATAATAATGAGGCAGATGGAAATTAGAATATTGAAAATTGTGGGAGTGGCAGGGAGACCTGTGGGAAGAACTGAGAGAATAGAAACTTAGTGAAAAAATTCCTGGGGGAATAAAAATTGGGGTAGCTGATGAGAATTGGGGGAGAAAATGAGAACAGAATTGTAAAGGAAAACAAACTGTAGGAGAGCCTGGGAATCACGGGAGAGCAAGGCATTGTGGGAGAGGATGAATTGTGAGAAGAGAATCTGAGACAGAGAATTGTGGGAAAGAATGAGTTGTGAGAGACAGGGCAGTGTGGAAGCCGAAATACAAGAGCAGCACCGTAAAACAGTGAGGAATGGCAGGTTTGGAAAGGGGACTCATTTTACCAGGACCAAGTGTAATTCAGCTTGCAACTCGGACAGCTGCTGTTTTTAATTCTGCTTAAGCCTTGTGTCTGACAGCAGCAGTTCCTATCACATTACCATGGACAGGCAACCTCCTCGGCCCTGCTTCCATTGTTCCAAGGGCTAGGTTAGTGTTCCAGACCAGCTCCATGCCATCCTCACAGGACTTGCTCTGAGCCTCAGTTCAGAAAGTTCAACAGTAATTTAGTGCCTCTAGGCTTTGCCTTATCTCAGCCCCTACTTTTGGGGGCCCTGAGAGGTCTAACTTAAACAGTCACAAGACACTCATTTCTCATGTCATTTTCAGTTGTCCAGAAAGAAAAGGAATATAGATGCCTTGCTAAGTGACATTTTCCCCCTTTTGTACTGAATTTTCCAATGAATGGTAGGAAATCTGCTCATTCATCAGGAAATGGCCCATTTATCATTTTCATGAATAAATGTAATGAGAATGCTAGTTTCGGCTTGGAAGTGTTATAAATATAAATCATTGGCTTCAGAATTTAAAAAAAATCTTTGCTCGCCTCTGGCCAAGAGCTGAGGGCTTCATCTTACTGCATTTATACATCAGAGATTTCCTAAGTGTTTGTAATTACAACCAGGGAGATCTTCTGGATGTAATTCAGGACTCTTTCACTTCTTGGTCTATAATATTTTCCATATGTTGGTTTGGAAATGTTGTACCTCCTTTAGCTGCACCCCCCCCCGCCCAGCCTTAAAAAGCCATCAGCTTTAAAAAGGCAAAATATTCCTCATGTTAAGTAGGAAGAACACTGTAATGTTAGTTACTTTCTCTTTGAGGTACTTCTGTGCCTATACATACATAGGAACACTTTAAAGACTATCTTTGGGGCGTCTGTGTGGCTCAGTGTGTTAAAAGTCCGACTCCTGATTTTGGCTCAGGTCATGGTCTCAGGTTCCTGGGATCGAGCCCTGCGTTGGGCTACCGAGTCTGCTTGTCCCTCTCCCACTGCCCCTGCTGTTTCTCTCAAATAGATCTTAAAAAAAAACAAAAACAAAAACAAAAACAAAAAACTGAAAGCTGACCATCATTGGTAACCAAGCGGGGGCGGGTGTCCAAGTAATCCCTCCTCCCAGGAGCAAATGAGCGAGCGAAGGCAAAATGAGAATCAGACTCTACGTTACAAAAAGAATGTCATTGGAGGAGACAAGCCGTCCGGACCATCGCCATCCGGCTTTGATGGCAGCAGGCCAACCGGAGTGTTACCTCGTTGATTAAATGCTAAGTATCTATGCAGTCCAAGGAGTACCGTTTTCGTGGTTTAGTGGGTTTCTCGGAGTTCATTGTTTGTTGTTTTAAAACTTACAAACAGTGTATTACTTCCTCAGTACAAAGTAATTGAAAACATTAATGAACATTAAGTGAGAACTCAGCCTCCCCGAGGCCCCCCGTCCTCCAGTCCCTCAATAACCCTCCCTGGAGATAATACTGTTACCATTTCCTAGATAGAGAGGATTCATTTTCCCAAAATAAACACCAGTGTTGAGCTCAAAGTGTTTTCCACTAATATTATTCAATATTTGATGTGGCAAAATTCCATTCCAACAGAACAATCTGCCATGAACTGAAATGATAGGACCCGTGTTTGTGTAGCCGCACAAGGAGTGCTAAGAGATGTAGTAAGAGTCTGTGGGTATATTTGAATGAGAGACACCTGAATTATCACGGAGTCAGTGACTTCTGTGCCTGGGGAAACTTTTTGGGTCATTTTTAATCTAGAAGTTGCTCTCCTGTACCAACAGCCCTGGGGCTTTAACCCTCAACTTCAGTGCAACTTAGAGGGACAAAGGCCAGAATGTCCCTAAATTCTGCAGTTCAGAGACAAAAGACATGCCCAGGTCCACTGGGGATTCCAGACTAGCAAAGGAGAAATGCAATTTGCTGGAATTTCTTAAATGTGTGTTGTCACAATTAGGGACATCCGAATCTGAATCTTGAAGACACAGTCATCAAAGGCTGTGTACTCCACAGACAGACATCACAGGAGATTAAGACTTACTATAATCGGGAACGAGAGATCACCTGAATAGGACAAAGTAACCTTCCTAATAAGGCTGGCAGGAACTGTCCAGCAGGGTCCCGGGCCATGAGACAAGGAGGCCCAAGGTCAGCAATCAAGCTAGCCAACAGAAGAAGCAGGAATCTGGATAGAACCATGGGTTAGTGTAGGTCCTCCACAGACCATCTACCAAGAGGAGGTCAGATGTGCAAGGATCTGACCAAGGGAAATCCTACAGGAGAAATAGGGTTGATGCTAGGGGAAGGCTGTAGCATTAGACCTTGCTGCATGTCTGACTCCAGCAAAGGAGAGCAGGAAGGCATGATGGCAGAAGGATCCTAGCTACTGTGCAGACTAAAGAAGTTTTGGCCAAGGTGCTGGGAAGTGTTGGAGCCTAAGTCCACCAGTAGAGGAAAGTTGTGTCTCCCAGCCACAGGCGGCCTCAGTTTCCCCCTCGAACTTGGGTAATTGGCAGGTGGTACCACAAAGGAGGGATGGCCTCAGCACCAGCGCAGTGATGGATTTCAGAGGACACATGCTAGGCCCCAGGTCCCCGGGGCGGCGGCAGGGGGCGGGGGTGGGGGGGTCTCCACCGTACAGCTGAAGGCCTGAAGGGGATATGCAGATGGCTGGCCTAAGCCAAGGCCGGGGTTTCTCTCAGGCCTTTCTGTTCAAGAATCCACCATGTCCATCTGAGGTGGAGTCGGGAGTGGAGGTCACCAGCAGTCCCCTCCAGCCTCGTCCTGATCAACCCCCATTTACTGCAGCGAACTATTTAGGAAGCTACATATAGTTCATTTCCTGAGAGGATTTCATGTTGCCTAACTTTTCTGTGGTCATTTTCTCTTCAGTAAAAGAACCCTGTTAGCTATGAAGAGAATTGAACGGATGAACGTGGCAACGGCCCTCAGGTTGCTGGCACTCAGAAGAGGCAGGTCAAGCTAACGTGCACTCCGTGCAACAGGAGTCCTCCTCGGGCCTGCACTTCGGGATGCGGGACCACCGCCTGAGGCCCGAGGACAGCCAAGGCCTCAGCCGGAGTAAGACGGAGCAGAAGCTCCTGGCTGAAGCCGAAAAGGTCTATTCGACAAAGAGCAGGCCCCAGTGGTGGAGAAAATCCCCCAACTCCACCACCTCATCCTGTCAGCCCTTCACAGGGGCTCCGTGTGACAGAGGCCACAGCGCCTCACAAAATCCCTTGAGAATATGAATGCCGCTCCCCCCCACCCCATTTTCACATATACTTGGGCTACAGTCCATCTCCCATTTCATGATCTGTTCGAGTTTGTCAAAGCGGGGGGTGGGGGGGTTCAGGAGCAGCATATCCGTGGGAACGGAACATAAGGTCTGCCTGGGCAATGAAAGCCAGAGAGGTAGAGGCGGGTTCTGCAGGATGGCTGGCTGGACCCACACGGTTCCCTGCCTGTCTGCACGAGCGAAACTCGAAACCCAGTCATCAAA